TCCCAGTTATCTCCTGAGTTATTTCTCTTTTATCCATTCTCAGCACTCAAGGCCCTAATTCAGAGTCTCTTATATACGTTATTGCAATTGCTTCCTAAATCATATCTTCATCTCCATCTCCATGGCTGTCATCTTTAGAACTGACATCGTAAGACTGGTATCTTTAGAATGTCTTTAGAACACTCAAAATAATAGTAATTAATATTCTATGGGGTTACTGTAGTGCCCAGCACTACTTTTCCATGTATTTTCTTTCTGATTAATCAAAACAGTCATAGTTTTAAATAACTTCTCAAGGTTTTTCAGTAAGGGAACAGAGAAAAGATTTAAACCTAGGTAGCCTGGTTCAGAGCTGTACTAGGTTAGGCTATATAACCTTTTGGAGCTCTCTGCAGCTTAAACACATGATAACCCACCTGAAAACAAGCTTTTACAAGCCAACTTCTGACTTTTTAAAATAAGTGTAAATTTTTCTTAAGCATGTTTGAATTTTGTAAGTAAATTTTTCCAGCTGGTCTGTGGTAATGATTTCAAAACATACCCATATATCAAAACATCACATTGTACACTGTAAATACATTCAATTTTTGTCAGTTATGCCTCAATAAAGCTGGGGAGAAATGAAATACATAAATTTTTTTTGAGACAGAGTCTCACTCTGTCACTCAGGCTGGAGTGCAGTGGTGCAATCTCAGCTTACTGCAACCTCTGCCTCCCAGGTTCAACTGATTCTCATGCCTCAGCCTCCCGAATAGTTACAGGCACACACTATCACTCCTGGCTAATTTTTGTATTTTTTTTCAGTAGAAGTGGGGTTTCACCATGTTGGCCAGGCTAGTCTCGAACTCCTGACATCAAGTGATCTGCCTGTCTTGGCCTCCCAAAATTCTGGGATTACAGGCATGAGCCACCACACCCGGCCATAAATAAAAATTTTTTAATTAAAAAAAAGAAATCTGATTTTTTTAGCCCCATTGCCACCATCTCCCTCTGTCTTTAGAATTTAGGCACAATTGTCTGTTGTATGTGCTATATTATTTCACATACACATCTCTGTGTGATTTTCCTCCATTCTAAGAATCCTCAGTTTTGCTAGAAGTAACACTAATGATCACACTTTCCTAGAATCAGAAAGAGCTTCCCTCTTCTATGATTAGAAGCATTCTTAGAAGTCATCTAATCTTCTGGTGGATGTCCTGCTTGTAGTGTTTTTTTGAGCTTAGGCTTGCTCAGTATCTTGTTTCCAGAGCAGCTGATGTACTGAAAATGTGAGCGGTGGTTATGTTAAATGAGAAGTGCTGAGGTGAATAGGCCAAAGAAGGGACTCCAGTGAGTTGTCAGATAAGAAGTCCTGAGGGTGAAATTGGGAGTCTGTGCAGGAGATCAAGAAGTTCCTAAGTCAGAAACCCATGGGAGATAGGCCAACAGAAGGATGGCCTGGATATGCTGGCAGGTGGGGACTGCTGCCCGTCTTGGCCTTTTTGTGTTCCTTGCTGTGTGACGCTTAAATGGGTAGGTGCTTTAAGGCACTGAGTGGCCAGCCTGGCATGTACCACTTTCCATCATCTGTCTGGCTAACTCCTATGTATTCTTCAAGGTTCAGCTTTAGGGTCACTCCTAAATCTTCCTCTGTCTGCATTAATGCCCCCTCTCTGTACTTCTCACACTATTTTATGAGACTGCAAAATCCTTAAGGGCAGGCATTGTGACTTCTTGTCTGTATTCAATACCACCAGAATCTAACAATCATTGCCCTAAATACATTACAGGGAGGCAGATGTTGGCTTACCATAAGATAAGTTTTTTGTTTGTTTGTTTGTTTGTTTGTTTCTTTTTTGAGACAGAGTCTCACTTTGTCTCCAGGTGCCAGGCTGGAGTGCAGTGGTGTGATCTCGGCTCACTGCAACCTCTGCCTCCCAGGTTCAAGCAATTCTCCTGCCTCAGCCTCCTGAGTAGCTGGGACTACAAGCGCACGCCACCATGCCCAGCTAATTTTTTTTTTTTTTTAAATAGAGACGGGGTTTCACCATGTTGGCCAGGATGGTCTCGATCTATTGACCTCATGATCCGCCCACCTCGGCCTCCCAAAGTGCTGGGATTACAAGCATGAGCCACCGCGCCCGGCCACCATAAGAGAAGTTTTTAAAAAGTATATTGTATACAAGCAGAGTATAGACTAGTGGTTAAGAGCCTGGCCTTGGTGTCATACTGCCTTTGTTCAAATTTTAGCCTTCTGTGTTACCTTGAGCAGCTTAATCTGTCTGTGCCCCATAAAGTGGAGATAATATTACCTGTGCCATCAGGTTGTTGTGTGAATTAAATGAAATATACATGAAAAATACTTGGCTCCATTCCTGGCATATTGTAAGCACTTAGCAATGTTAGAAATTACTACTTTTCTCTTAGTTATTATCATCATTCACTAGCAGTGTATCACAACGAGGTGGGTTGTTTTGGGAAGCAATGAGTCACCTTTTATTGAAAGTATTCAAGCAGCAGTAAATCCAGCAGAGATGCTGTAGAAGCAGTTCCTGAGTTAAAAAGATTACATGACTTCTAAGAATGCTTCTAATCATAGAAGAGGGAAGCTCATTCTCTGATTCTAGGAAAGTGCGATCATTAGTGTTACTTCTAGCAAAATTGAGGATTGTTAGAATGGGAAAAGGCACTGGAATTGGCCACATGCATATATTACAAAGAACAAAATATTTTCTTTGTGAGCAGTTAATTGCAAAAGCCTTTTTACTTATGTGGTAACCCACATGGCAGATCAGGCTCTTACATGACGATTCATCTCTTCTCAAAAGGACTAGTATGGTCCTGCCAAAATGGAACAGACAAAACTTTAAAGGCTGTTCCAGCCCTCCTGAAATGTCTTTTCCTTTTGAAAGAAGCCTATTAGTGATACAAATGCAAAGTTATTTGCACAGATGATAATCTCAGCAAACAAAACACTGAAACCATTAGAACTTTCTTGTGCAGCATTCAGTCCTGAGCATTAAAAAGGCAGAGAGGCCAGGCGCGGTGGCTCATGCCTGTAATCCCAGCGCTTTGGGAGGCCAAGGATGGCGGACTATCTGAGGTCAGGGGTTCGGGACTCCCTGACCAACATGGAGAAACCCTGTCTCTACTAAAAATACAAAAATTAGCTGGGCATAGTGGCACAAGCCTGTAATCCCAGGAGGGTGAGGCAGGAGAATCACTTGAACCTGGGAGGCGGAGGTTGCGGTGAGCCAAGATCACACCATTGCACTCCAGCCTGGGTGACAAAAGCAAAACTCCATCTCAAAAAAAAAAAAAAAGGGCAGAGAAAAAGAGCAGACCTGGTTCCCATTTGGGTCAGTTTGTCAGGTCTGCTTATCTCAATCCTGTTTGGCCTAAAGATGCCAAACAGTTCTCCAAATGTAGACAAACAGAAGAAAGGCCTGCAGTCTGGGTCCTGGGCTAGTACCTTAAACAGGCAAAAGCAAGATCCTTAGCTATGGAATACCGTTTATAGTCAGGAATTTCTCAAGATACCAGAGCCTGAAGGTAGATCCGTCTAGAAGACAGTCAATGATAGGTACTCCTAAGGCAATAATTTAAGTGATATTTTCGTATTACTGATGCTTTAAGTAATTAAAAATTACAGAACCAAAAGGCTGCTTGTATAGTTGAAGAGATAACCATTTTCAAACATCAATTTAGTCAACAGATACTCAAAGTAAACAATTTGAGAATTTAGTAAATATGAAATTTTGCTATAAGGAAAAGGATTGAAAAGATTTTTTTTAAAGTATGAAGCAATTAACTCTAAGTAGTTTGCTCTACTATTATTTGATTATACTTATCCTTAACAGGTTTGATGAGACCTAGTTTCTCAGGAGCCACGAGGTATTAGGGAATATTTAGTGGTTAGAAGGTGTGGTGCCTAAGGGGATTAGGAAAGCTTTTCTGAAGCAAAAATCCAAAGTGGTATTGCCAAAGTGGCCATCCCCTAATTGATTAAAACTCTTAAAAATGTCAATTGGGAATAGAAAGATAACCTTCCATTACCCTCAAGCTTTCTTGGGCAAGTATTAACAATCAGAGCTGGAGTCCACAGAGTTTAGAGATAATACACTCAATCTGGGTCTTAAGCAGGGTGGAGCTTTGGGTAGGTAAGGTCACCGCTAAAGAGCTTCCGGATCGTCACGTGTTTATATTTTAGGTGCGGTAATGGATCTAGTCCACCCTTCACCCTCCACCCCTTCTTTGCAGGGTTGTTTGACAACGGTGCAGTGCCAGCCCGTCTTTGCTAATCCAACCCTCTTCAAAGAGGGAGGTCAATCACTGCTTTAGCTCTGCGCTCTGCCTGCCTCCCACGCGGGATGGTGGGCAGCTGTTCCGCGTGTTTTCCCCTGGAGCTTCCACGCGCTGCCTACTACACACGCCTCTCTGGCTGCCCTCCTGGCCTACCCTCCTTTGCACCCTGGCAGGCCAACTCCAAGGGTCCGAGTGTCGGGGACAGGAGCAAGCACAGCTCACTTTTCCTGGGGGCTTTCCTCACGGTGTGTTTAGTGACCCCCCTCCCTGCAATCCCAGAAAGGCTGCAGCGCTCGGTGGTATGCTATGTTTTGCTGCTTCTGAAATAATAATAATAAATTTCGGGACACTGATTGTCTCGTAAATGACCACTATGCTGTCTGCTTGGAACTGGGACCAGATAAAGCAAGATCCAACTTTGTAGTTAGGGGAATCAGAAACGAAAAGAAGCCACTTTCTGCCGGTCCCAACCACGGTCCCTGGGCCAGGCAAACCTTCTCAAGAGTCTGGCGGCAGCAGTTGGGCGCGGGTCCGCAGGAAAGCCGAGGCCTTTCGGGTCCCGAGCTGCTCCGCCGCTGGCCCGGCCAGGCAGGCGCGCAGAGCCGGAACGCGCACCGGTCGGGTGCGCGCCAGGCCTGGAGCGCTCCCTCCGGGATCGCGGCTGCGCAGTCGGGCGGGAGTCGGGAAAAGTGGGAGGAGGTTGGACGAGCCGGAGTAAGGGGAGGGGGAGGAGCGGTGAAAGCGGAAGCCATGTTGGAGTTTCACCCCGAGCGAGGGGCTGCGAGGGTTCTCCTCTCCTTGTGGGTGTGACCGAGTTCGGCGCGGTGGCGGGCTGCGAGGGGCGGGGACGGTTGGGCCGTTCGTCGTCGTCCGCAGCGGCGTGAGGGGAGCGGCGGCGGCGGCGGCGGCGGCGGCGGTGGCCGCAGCAGCGTGGAGCCGGGCGATTGTGACCGCCGGGGGAGCCGGGGTCCGGCCGCGGCGCCCTCTCTCCGTGTGGCCCCCTGAGCGCGCCCCCCCTCCCCTGCCCGGGAGGGAGGCTGGGGGCACCTGGGGCCCGCCATGAACCCCGGCTTCGACCTGTCCCGCCGGAACCCGCAGGAGGACTTCGAGCTGATTCAGCGCATCGGCAGCGGCACCTACGGCGACGTCTACAAGGTAAGGACAGGGGCCGCGCGCCGCCGAGGCCGTGGGGTCCCGACTCGCGGCCAAGCTTGGGCGCCCGAGCCCGCGCCGCCTGTCCTCGGGAGACGCTGGCGCCTGGGAGCAGTGGGGGAGGAGGAGCCGCGGACGCCGAGGGCTCTGATGGCTTGGTGAACAAAGGGCCAAATGTGTTACCCCGAGACCTCCCCAGCCCTTACCTGAGACCTCCGCAGCCCTCACGTGAGCCCTCCGGTGGATGTGATTTTTGCCACCTCCTCTCTCGCGCGCGTTTCCAGGGAAGGGCAGAACGAGAGCGGGCCACTCTGCTCATCACAGTGCAGAGAGGGTCTGGGGCGTTTGTTGCATTGGCAGGGTCAACGCGACGAACCGGACAGCAGGGGTCTGGCGTTGTCAAACCTGCCTGCTTCACAAGGACCTGGGATTGCCGGCTCTAGGTTGGGAGCTGCTGCCCACCAGGCCTTGGTGGTAGTGGTTATACTATGCTGGGCGACCTCCATCCTCCATCGACAGCTCTCAGCCTTTAGCGTCTTATCATCCCCCTATCAGTTTCTTCTAATTTTCCAAGTAATGACTTTTTTTGTGTATTAAAACCTTTTTTTTTTTTTTTTTTTTTTTTGTTTTCTAGTCACTTTTTGAAAAAGCAACTTTGTTTTCTCTAAGTTGAATTGCACTGCAATGCCATATAAAGTTGTTTTTTTAAAAAGTGACTTGAATACTTAGGGAAGGTACTGGTTTGACAAGGTTACAATTCAAAGTCCATTAGCATTACAGCATTCCTGTTGTAGAGGGAACACTTCTAAATGTGGGAGGATAAATCACTCTTCCCTGGCCAACTCAACTCTTGGCCTCGCAGTTACTGCCAAGAAGAGAGGAGATTGGTGCCAAATGTGGCAGCAGTCTTGATTTAGTTGTGTATCTTCTTACTGGTAACTGAAGTTGAACTCCTCCTATTTCACCTAACACCTGAGGATGCACAAAGAAACGTAATTTTGCATTGGAAAGTTTAGTCTTGACTTTATTTTGCCCATGTTTAAGCAATAGGTTTTTACTCTTCAGTATAATGCCGATGTTAACTTACATATTTAATCCAGTGCAGCTAATGTTCTGCTTTAGTCTCGTTTTGTGGATGATTTGCTTTTCCCTGTCATGGATCTCATCACTTTTTCGACTAGGCAGGTATATTGAGCACACCTACAATGTATGAGATACTGGGCAAGTAAGCACTTGGGGTTCTAGCAGTAAACGATAGACTTGGTTCCAAATCTTACTAGGGGTTTCCCTTTTTTTGGACAAGGACAGTATTAAACAGCCATTTAAATAATTATCTTATTGCAGTTTTATTTTGTGCTACAGAGGAGAAGAGTGTAGGGATCAGAGTTATGAGAGCATGTAATAGGACCTGATTCTGTTTGGGGTGTCAGAGGCTCATCGCCCTTTAGCTGAGATCCGAGGTGTACTGGGGAGAATTATGCCAGATAGGGGAGCATGATATGTGAAGGCTCTGAGGCCCGGTTTGAAAGAAGACCTGTATAGTCTGAGTATCCAGAGAGGAAGGATGGCTCTAGATCTGGCAGGCCTCTCAGTTCTCATTAGGGGATTGGACTTCTTTAGGACAGTCAGGTACCACTGCAGGTTTTTAAGCAGGGGAGTGAAATTAGATTTAGGTTTTTGAAAGATCTCCCTACTACAGCATGAGGAGTGGAATGGGGGGGAAGAGCGGTTGGGAGGCCATTGTGATAGTCAAGGTAAGAATAATGTTGTTAAGGCATATGGTGATGACTGTGAAAGTAGAGGTGGTTGGATGCAAGTCGCTTATGGCTGGTTGGGCAAGTTCACTTCTATTCTGATGAAAAGTTAACTAAAACTTGATGAATGTATAAGTTTTAGGTGGCAGGGTATACAGTAAATTTTTTGCAGGAATAATTGGCTGTGTACTTACTATATTTAAAAAAAAACAGTAGTTAAGCCACATGATTAAAAAATAAAAAAATTAGGGCCTGTAATTTCCTGTGTAATAGAAGTATAGTAAGTTGATTAATCTTTTCATTCGTTTAAAATAATGATAATACTAGCTGTTGTTTATGGAATGCTTATTACTTACCAGGCACTGTAAGATTTTTCTAAACAGCAAACCTGTGAGATAGGTACTGTTGTTAACTCCATTTTGCAGTTGAATAAACTGAGGCACAAGGAGATTAACTTGCCAGAGTTGGTAGGTGGTAAAGCCAAAATTTGAACCAGTTAGAGACTGTATTCTTAACCAACAGACAGTACTGCCTCTCTAAAGACAAGAGATGGGCAGATAATGTATTACATTTTCAGTGAAAAAACTGGGGCACACAGTTTAGCATTTGAGTTGTAGCCACATTCTGAGTTAGTGTAGATCTTTCAGAAGTAGTTGGAATACCTAAGTCCTGCTGTGCCGCCAGGCCTCACTGTTTTTGTCATCTGCCAAGTGGACATCAGATAAAAATTTGCTTGGTCCCTGCCTGCTAGACTCTTCCAATACCAGTGACCAAAGCAGAGAAACTTCATGTAGTTTTTGGCATCAGATCCCCCTTTTATTTGTATTTTTGTCTGTAATCAAATTTATGCTATAAAGTTACAAATTTTTGTTATTTGTTTTGCTGTTTTAGATTTTTCTTATTTATACAAATTAATTGCATTAGAGAAGTACATTGGTTTCAAAAGCCTGTATGTATATGTATATATATATGTGTGTATGTGTGTGTGTGTGTGTATATATATATATATATATATATATAAATTAAGGAACTTTGTATATATATATAAATTAAGGAACTTTATATATACATTTATATATATCTATATATATATTGATATATATAAATTAAGGAACTTTGTATATATAAATTAAGGAACTTTATATGTATTTATATATAAATTTATATATAAATATATATATTTATATATAAATATGTATTTATATATATATTTATATATAAATTAAGGAACTTTATATATATATATATATAAGGTTCCTTAATTTGTCAGCATTTAGGTGGTGAAAATGGAATGACTGGATTAAATAAATAAGAGAGCTGATTATAGTCATTGTTGGAAGGTTGGTGGAGATTTTTATTTTGAAAATGGTTTCCTACTCAGTGTAATAACATGTACTGAAGGTAGCATGGTGTAGTTAAAAGGTACTGAATAAGGATGTGGACAATCTGGGATTTATTAGCTCTGTGGCCTTGTGGAATCAACCTCTCAGAGTTGTTTTGTTGTGGAGGTAGTATTACCATCATAGGCCCTTCTGCTTTTGGTCTTGGATAAATGACTCAAATTTTACTCAGTAATTAAGTTATTTTTATTTTTTTCAGGCCAATGCATATATACATCTTATCTGCACTGTCTAAAAAAAGTCATGTCTTGTAAGTGTCATGTAACTAACTCCAGGCTTGATCTGTCATGAAGTGTCTGCATCTTGGGTTACCTGGGGACCTAGGAGCTGACAACTAGAGCTCTTTGGTTGGGCCTCAGGAGGCCCATAAAGTGCTCTGAAGTTAATAGGCTTAATGTTATATGTGTTTGTGTTTTTCTGTGGAGATGGCTTATGGTATTCATTGCATTCTTAAGAGCTTCATGATCCAAAAAAATGAAAAGAAAAAATCCATAGGATTGCCATTTGAAAAAGTTTTCTTGGGGAAATCAGATAGTTCTGTTATAGTAGATCACATGATCAACATTTAATATGATTTTCACATGCATTATGCCATCTTTTCTCAGGCAGTTTTCCTACTTAATTTTTATTATTACCACGCTTTAAAGTCTTTATGTCCTTATGTTTTTCTAGATACATTGCTAGAAAGAAGCAGGAGATAGTAAAGCTGGAGTTAGGATAAGGCAAAAGAAGTTTTGAAGGAATAGTCTTAATATGGTATCTATGGAAATATCTTACCTAGTCTTGTGGTTTCAGTCTGGTCCCTGTGAACGATTCCTAGCCTGTGTATCCAAGACTACAAACACAAAGACTCTAGGCTTTAAGCCTTAGAGTCATCTTTAGTGACTTTCGGACTGGACTTTTTAGGCATTAGCCAAATTCTGTACAGAGGCATTTTTCCAAAGTGTGGTTGGGGTGCTTCAGGAAAAGCCATACTATGAGTAGGTTGAAGACTGACAAGTCCTATGGTAAAGAAACCTGGTAAACTTTGCTTTAATAATAAGACCTGATTATAGTCATTCTTGGAAGGTTGGTGGAGGTTTTTATTTTGAAAACGGTTTCATACTCAGTGTAATAACATATTTATTGTACTTAAGGTGGCATGGTGTAGTTAAAAGGCACTGAGGATGTGGACAATCTGGGATTTATTAGCTCTGTGACCTTGTGGAATCAACCTGTCAGAGCTTTTTTGTTGTGGAGGTAGTATTACCATCATAGGCCCTTGATGACAAAAACTATGAGATTCTTTTTCTCTTTAATACATATTGCTTGTCCTTAGTCTTAGTGTCTTGAAGAGCATGCTTTGAAAGGTTGATACTGATTTGTTTTATCTATGTGTGTTTGGAAGCCATTTGCTCTGAAGCACAGGCTGCAGTGTTGCTAAGCTTCCAGGTAGCATTCACATGGTAGCCTATGTAAATAGATTTAGGTGTCTGTGAAATCTCGCAGGGAAAAAGGTGAGGATTGGGCAGTAAAATCAGGAAACCAATTTGTATGCATTTAGAGAATTATGTGTTAATTTGTAATTAGGCGTTTTTCAAGGTGTTCTACTTAATATTATCAAAGACTAATTCTTCCATTATAATCAGCATTTGTGAGAACCTTTCTGGAAAACTCAGTTCTTAAACCTAACTGATGAAGACCTTAAGCATTTAGAAAAGAACATTTGAAGGAAACTCAAACATTGTTATTTGGAGTTATGCTCACTTTTATTTACTTCCATTTAGAATAGAGTCTAGAGAGACCAGAAGAAATGGCCCTAAACTGCAGAAAGATCATTTAAAGTTGATTAAAGTAGAATTTCCAATCATCAGTAGCTGTTTGAGGTGAAAAGTGACAATGGAGTAATTTTGCTAGAATGTTTGGAAAGCAAACAAACAGGTTATCTGACTTTGATACAGATCTGATTTCCTCAAGGAGGTACTTACCTCCAACCTTTGATCTGTATATGTATTTATTTGTGAAACATATCTAATGCATCATTTTGTATTGAGAATGAATATTAAGTTCTCTCATGAGAGTACATTGAACAGCCACCATACATTGAGCTGTGTAGTATGAGAGGAAATGTGTTAGGAACTGTGAGTAGAGTAGCAGAAATGACAAGACTTGGTACTTGGTATTTACAAGGAACATAAAATGTGTACCTGCTATTAGCTATCATAGTTTGAGATCAAAATCTTGTTGGTTTTCTCATTTATATCATAGTAAATCTCTTGCTGGCTGAGAGATTCTCTAGATACTCCATAATTGCACAACTGGCCTCTCTGTAGCACAGCACAGTGATTTGAGAACAGGGTTCTGGAGCCAGGCTGCCTAGTTTGACCACCCACTAGTTCTTTGTCCTTGGGCCAATTACTTAATCCCTCTCTGTCTGTCTCAGTTTCCTCAGTTATAAAATGGAGTTGCTTAGAAAAGTGCTTGGGACAGTACCTGACACGTAATAGTGTAGTCATTGTTAATTGCTGTTAGTGTCTAGTAGTATTTGTTATTATATATTTCTTCTGCTACCGTCCTTCTAACCTACTCTGTTCCTCGTGTTCTGCCTCAGGGTTTTTAGCTTGCTGTCTCTGCCTAAAATCTACTCTTCCCCCCCAGTATCTGTTTGGTTTGCTTCTTCCTTTAAAGGCTCAGCTCAAATGCCACCTTTTAACGAGGCTCTTCCTTACCACCCTACAAAAAACAGCACTTTTCCCACTACTTTCAAGGATACAAATCAGGGATGGATCCAGGTTTTATGGGACCCGAAGTTTATGCAGTTTTGAGGATCCTCATTAAAAAAACAAACTAGAATTTTTTTAAAAAGATATGAAAGTGAATCTTTAGAATGAGAAAAGATATCCCAACAAAATGCTATAACCTTAGGTCCCTTTCTTCTGAGGTTTCTTTAGGCGTTTAATCAGATACGCTCACAAAAAAATGCCTTCTGGCTCCCTGTCTCCACCAGGAATACTCTACATGTCCCAGTAACTCTTAGCACTCACAAAGGGCCATGCAAGTGAAGGGGCCTGAACTTTCAAGTTTTGTTAGCTTCACAAAAAATTCAGTTTGGCTCTTTACCTTTTCATTATGGCATGTGTCACCGCGTGTTTATTTGTTTATTGCCTGTCTCTCCCCACTAGAGTGTACATCCAGGAAACTGGCGATTTGGCTTTGTTCATTGCTGTATCCCCAGTAGCTGACCCATATTAGATTCTTAATGCATGTTTGTGGAATGAATAAATGAACCAACATGAGAGGAACAAACCATAACTGTGTGAATTTAGAGAAAGGAGATGGTTGTTTCTGACTGGGAGAAATCAGAGCAGTCCTTGCAGAGGAGGTGGCATTGGGCTTGACTTAAGAGTTCTGGCAATAGTGGATACTGAATGAGTTAAATGTATGGATTATTATTAGGTCTTAAATCTAAAATCGATAGGCTTAATGTATCTTTGGCATATTAAGCAATGTTCATAACTGTTATATGCATGTGAAGATACTCTGTCATTTTGAACTAAAGACCCCTAGTGACTGACTAGTGAATCTATCAGTAGGCTATCATATATGACTTTTATTATTATTATTATTATTATTATTATTATTAATACAAAGCCTTTTTAGGAAGAGGACTTTCTTCACCAATACAAAAAAAGGCATTCGATTCAAGAGATGAAATAATGTTTTATTTTTATGTTTATTTATTTTTTCATACCACCTTTATATGTACAGAAATTGTGTTTCTTTTCTGCTTTAGTTTTGTTTTTTTTTACAGTCTTTTTTTGTTCTGGAAGATGCCACGTTTCTGAGTTCAAACTGCCTTGACCTGATTATAGGTTTGGTTTCCTGATGTAGTAATGTACTGCCTACCTTAGTCCTTAAACTCTGTAGAAGATTTTTAAATTTGACCATAAATTTAGATATGTTCAAATAAGACAGTTATTTTGTTTAAGCTCTTAGAAAGTTGAGATTATAAAAGTTCTTTCTGTATAAACTACCTTCCCTGGCTCAAAGAATCTTCTCTTCATTGCCCGTATGCTAACCTACACTGATTGTAAGGCCTCCCCAGCCAGTGGGATTGAGAGTCAATTAAACCTCTTTCCATTATAAGTTACCCAGTCTTGTGTATGTCTTTATTAGCAGCATGAGAACAGATTAATACATGCCCCTTCCCAGCCAGTCATAAATACCACCCACCCACAATTACTGTTCCCATTTCTGTCACCATGAAAGCTCTTTTAGAACTTTGTATAAATGAACCATGAATGAATTGCCTCAGCACTCTTGATGAAAATCACTTGACAGTACACATGTGAGTATATTCTGGAGTCTTGTTCTTTTGAGCTGTATATCTGTACTTTTCACCAATACCTCATTGTCTTGTTTACTGTAGCTTTATAGAAAGTCTTGAAATTAGGCAGAGTGGGTCCTCTGATTCTGTGCTACCTTTTCAAAATGGTTTTATCTATTCTAGGTCCTTTGCTTTTCCATATCAATTTTTGAGTCAGCTCTTCAAGTTAAATGTAAAAGCCTACTGGGATTTTGTTTTAAGTTTTGAGATAAGTAATTGTAAATTCATTGCAGAAAGAGTAAAAGAGGTCTCACATACCCAACACCCAGCTTCCCCAATGGTGATATCTTTATATACCTACAGTGCATTATCAAAATGAGGAAATTAATTGGCACAGTACAATTAACTAAGCCTTAGTCAGATTTCATCAGTTTTTGCATGTATTCATTTTTTTATATCTTTGTATATATTTTTGTGATATTTTATCATATACACAGTCTGCTGGGATTATGTGGGATCTGTCACTCAGTTAGTGGAGAATTGAGATCTTAAATGCACTGAATCTTCTGATCTATGAAGATGGTATATCTTTACATTTATTTAGATGATCTTTATCTCATCAATATGTTGATTTTAATTCATAAATGTTTTCCCTGGCTTTTCCTACTAATATCGTGGTGAAACATAGTTATGGAAAATCCAAGGTTGCATGGTAATTATAAAATTAGCTGTATTTTCAGTTTTTATGAAAATTCTCACTCTACTAGTGGTTTCTGACTTCCTTTGGCTTAATCTTATTCATTTTAAACCCTGAGCATATGTCCTTTTATTTATTTTTTTCCAGATGCAGTCTTGCATTGTTGCCCAGGCTGGAGTGCAGTGATACAATCTTGGCTCACTGCAACCTCCACCTTCCAGATACAAGCAATTCCCCTGTCTCAGCCTCCCGAATAGCTGAGATTGCAGGCGTGTGCCACCATGCCTAGCTAATTTTTGTATTCTTAGTAGAGACAGGGTTTCCCCATGTTGGCCAGGTTGGTCTTGACGTCTTGACCTTGTGATCCACCTGCCTTGGCCTCCCAAAGTTCTGGGATTATAGGCATGAGCCACTGTGCCTAGCTGTGGACTACTTTTAATAAAATTTGGCAAAAATGAAACGAAGACAAGGAAAATGACTATTTAAAAAGACATCCACTTTTTCTGTGTATCCAAAGATTATAACAAAGACCTTATAAACTTGGTTTACTTTTATATGTGAGAGGTATGTATTTATGTGTATTTTGCAAAACTCCTATCTTTTGAACTTATTAAAGGAAAATACTACACTTAAGGCTTACTTCATCCTTAAGTGAAAAATAAACAACACTGCTATATTGCTTAGGAGATCCTAAAAAAATTATTATCTTGAGGAACTTAAGCTCTTATATAAGGAAACAAAATCTACATAAATAGAACATCTAAGGAACACATCTGAGGCACTATTTTAACAATTAGAAAAAACAATAAAACTATAAATACTATAGAAATTTTAATTTAAGGGAAAGATGAGTTGACTTCCTAGAAGAATGAATCTTGACTTGGGACTTGAAGAAAAATTGGATTTGCAATTGTAGAGAACGGTGAAGTCATTCCAAAAGAGTAAATACGGGTTAAAAATACTGCTGTGGGACCTAAGTGGACAAAGAAATAAGAAGACAACTATTCTAAGGAGACATATTGGGAAATGTGGTAGATAATGTTTCACATATACAAGATACAGATAAATGAATGCCAATTGAAGAATTTAAAACTCACTTGACCTACAGTGTAGTATTTTTCAAATTAATTTCAAATTTCTTTTCTCTCTAACCTGCTTGGGTAGCTATTTAGATGGTATTCAGTAAGATTTATTTCTTCCCTTTCATCTTTGTTGATTTAAAAGTTACAGATTTTACTTTTACGCTTTTGGTGGTTACTGTTAAAATTTCATCATGTGTAATTAGTCTAAAGTTAACTGATCTTCCCTGTTCTCTTTGTGGTCAGTATGTGGATTTTAGAAGGCTTAGTTTCATTCACCACCTTCCTATTCTGTATTGTCTCTTTGGTTCTGCTGTCCTTAAATGTCCCAGTTTAGTTTTTATCATTTTATACAGACAATGCTTTTACCTGTAGGAGTTTTCAACTTCTTTGCTCACTGTTTGTTCTTGGCATTATATTCCTTCATTCTGGGTTCAGTTTTCTTTATTCTTGAAGCAGTATTTGGTAGGATTTTTTTTTCTTTCTTATTTTCCAGGTGAGGAACTATATAAGGTAAACTCTGTCTTCCTCTCCCCCTTTCCAGTTGTCTTTATTTTGTCTGTACTTTTAAATCGTAGTGTAGTGGAATATACAATTCTATCTAGGTTGACGGTTGTTTTTTCTTAGCACTTGGAAGATATTTGGTTGTCTTCTGGTTACCTGTTGTGCTGCTGAGTAGTCTGTTGTCAGTATAATTATTGTTCCTCGTAGCTAATCTTACCTTTTCCTCCCTATTTAACTTTTAAGATTTTTTTTCTTTGATTCTGGTATGTACAATTTCACAATGTTATG